ATGCGGGACTCGATCCCGGGACTCCAGGATCATGACCTGAGCCGAAGGCAGTCGCTTAACCAACTGAGCCACCCAGGCGCCCTATGCATGCTTTCTCTTTTGGAGAAATTAAATATACAGGTAAGCTCTTCATCTATTCCACATGTATAACTAAAGACACTGTTAGCCAGGCTGAGAATATTAGCATCTCCTTTGATTTCTCCCTGTTCTTTGATTCCAAACTCCAGTCACCAAGTCTTATTAATTTTTCCAAAATAGTCTCTTCTGTATTTGCCTACTGCTAATGACACTATTCTAAATGTGTCCTTATTTTATTTATTTATTTTATTTTATTTTATTTTTCAAAGATTTTATTTATTTATTTGAGAGAGAGAATAAGAGACAGCACAAGAGGGAAGAGGGTCAGAGGGAGAAGCAGACCCCCCGCTGAGCAGGGAGCCCGATGCGGGACTCGATCTCGGGACTCCAGGATCATGACCTGAGCCGAAGGCAGTCGCTTAACCAACTGAGCCACCCAGGCGCCCCTAAATGTGTCCTTATTTTAAATGTGGATTCTTTTTGCCTCCGGGCTCCCTCCACTCCAATCTGCTGTGCACACTACTGCCAGAAGGACCGTTCGAAGTCTTCCTCTTGTCATACTACTCATCTGCTTGAAAACATATAGGTACATTTGCCAACTCCCTTCTGAAGAATCTTGAGTGTTAGATTAGTTCTATCCAATATTTACAATCTTCCATCTCACTATTCTCCTGCAAAGTTTCTCCATACTACTAGAATGGTCTACCCACCATCCCTTTGTTGTCCTAGCATTCCTGTATGATCCCCCTTCTGTACATTTGCTGTGCAAGGCTTTTCCCCTTTCTCTACACTAAATCCCACTTATCTCTTTAACTTTAGTTTAGACTACCCTTTTAACTTTCTTGTCACCCTTACCAATATAGTATCTCTTGCTGTTCTGAATTAAGATAATGTATTTTGGGGAACCCTTCTTCAGCAGTGTGGTAAATGGGAAAATACACAGACTTTAGGGTCAGACAGCCTTGGAAGGGAATCATGGCTCTGTCTTATTAGGTATGTGTCCTTGGGCAAGTCACTTAGCCTTTCTGAGCCTCATTTTAACTTCTAATATGAGGATAAGAAAACCATTTTGTGCAATTTAGGATAAGAAGATATGTTTTATTTATAGAAGATATTAGAAGATAACTCAATACGAGCAACATACAGGTATTTATTTCTCTGTAATCTCCCTCATCTGACATATCTTTGTATTCGATTCACATAATTATATAACTTCAGAGTTGGAAAATAATACTCTGCCATCATCTAGTCTAGTTTACTCATTTTATCAATTTGGAAATACCATGTCCAGGTATGTTAAATGAACAGGTCATTTAACATATCTGGTCACAAAGCTGAGATGAGCTCAGACCATCCAAAAACAGTGGCCGCATCATTTTATTCCTTTTAAATATCATCTTCATTTAGCGCCCAGGCTCTCTTGATGACCAGGTATACTTCCCCCAGCTTTACATTTCTCCACAGTAATGATCATGAACTAGCATACTCTGTATTTTACTTACTTTGTTTATTACCTATTCACTTTCCACCTCCCACACTCACCCCAAGAACATAAGCTCCATGAGGGCAGGATGTTTTATTAGTTTTGTTCAGGTACTACATCTCTGGCACCTAAAATGGTACTTGGCACATAGCAGATGCTCAGTTACTACTTACTGGATTAAAGAATTAAGAATATATACCTATTTTTCCTTTTTACACTGATGAGACAAAAACTTATAAGCTCTTGAGGACATACTCTCCATACTTATTCTTCCCCTAATGTAAATTCTTCAAACAACTAAATTTAAAGACAAGGAAGTTCTACTTTAACTACAGCTTTTTCTTTATAACTTCTTCTCAGTCCCACTTACTTTCTGAGTTTTTTGAAACAAAATAAAATAACATTTAAGACTAATACCCAAAATGAATGTACTCATTTCTATATAGTAATTACCTTATTAAGAAGTGGTTGTAACTTGGTTAGTGCTATTACTGTGGCTTCTATCAGAACTTGACTGTTGTAAGTATCAGGTCCTTTTAAGCAACTCTCAAGTGCCTTTTAGGGAAACAGAATTTTTTATATTTACTTCCATTGAAATAAAACATTAACTCCTAAACTAAATCTCACAATCAGTTCAGGAACAATTCCTTATTTAGTAAGTGCTAGAATCATTTCCAATGCTATGGTGTTCTTGGTAAATAGGTCATTTGGGTTTTCATTTTTAAATATTTCTATATTATATTTTAATACATTATGCATTATTATATTAATTACATATTATATAATTTTATATAAAGCTAGTTTTACCATATAGTTAAATGCTTTGAAAACTGATAAAATACTAAGAGTATCTTCTTAGCAAAAGAGACAATACATATTTTCTTTTAAGATATCTTCTTTAGAGCGTTCTTCAGTTCAAAAATTACAATAAAGAAAATAATTCAATCTGTTGTTTAAAGGTTTAACAAGCAACATACAAGACATTTTATTAACTTCGAATTTAGATGTCCCTTAGAAAAACACAAGTATGCTTTACAACTTGAGAACCACAAATATTTGAGAAGGAGGAAAGGAGGGAGACGTACCTTGCTAAGAATACGGATAATCTGCTTTATCTGCCCATGAGACACACGTTTGCTAATACAGCCAAAGACAACAAGAGCTCTTGGTTGTAGCGATGGATTATATTGGAATGCAAATCTGCAATTAAAAAATCCAAAGAGTTCAGGAAAAACCTTTGTGTTTATATATACTAAATAATTAATTAAAATACTGATTATGCAGTAGTATTTATCTTTTCAATAATACACATACTTTTACAACTTAAATTTATTTGGGACCCACCTTTGAGCTAGTTCTGTCCACTGGTCCAGCCACTTGCATGTTGGAATATCTCTCATACATGCCTTAAAAAAAGGATACTCTTAAATATATTTGTGTACATAAATGTTTTTAGAAACATTTAAATAACGTTTATTATAATGTCATTAAATAAATGACATATATATTACCAATAAACATGTTCCATGGGAGTGTTTTTATTTAAGCATTAAGCATAGAACAGCAGAATAAACTAATATTTCTTCTTTATAGTACTAGTGGATTAAGAAAAAAAGATCTCAGTTTCTTATCATTTTGTCTAATGTACCTCCATGATCTCCAACAAAGCTTCTGTGACTGTTTCCAGGGAAGTCAAAGCAAAAGTCTCCCTTTCATAGGAGCCGGGAGAGAATGACCTGTCCCGGTAACTAGAGCGGAAGGCAATGACGGCAGCTGACTTGACTTTGCTAATGCCAAACAGCAGGTAAAACTTGGGTAATGAGAACTCCGTCAAACTGAGTCTTAAAACTTGCTTGGTCTCTTCTGTAAAAGAAAAAAGGAACAAGGAAAGACTTTAAAGATATTAACTTTTTAATTCTAAAGTGCCCAATTTCACTTTGCTTTTAGAAAATTTGAAAATCATATCAAAACTACATAGTCATGCTCCCTACACCAACCCTCTAGACACATTCTGCTCAACGCTCACTGCTTTAGCTCCATTACCTACAAGTTCATGCCAGTAACACAACATCATCAACTGCTGCGGAGTCTTTAGCTTCTGTGGTTACAACAGTCTACCTGACAAACGCACAGAGAAAATCTTTGCTGTAGGGGCGCCTGGGTGGCTCGGTCAGTTAAGTGTTTGATTCTTGATTTCAGCTTAGGTCATGATCTCAGAGTCGTGGGATCAAGCCCCGCCGTCAGGGTCCACGCTCAGTGGGAAGTCTGCTTAAGGATTCTCTCTCTCCCTCTCCCTCTGTGGACACCCCCAACCCTGCCGCTCGCTCACTCTCTCTCTCTCTCTCTCTCTCTCTCTCTCGAGATTTTAAAAGAAAATCTCTGCTATAGCTTGAAATAGAATGGAGTTAATTTATTCTTTTTCTTTCTGATAATATTTCATGTATCATCACAGACTTCAATAAACAGCTAGTGTTAAAGAGAACCATAATAATGAGTAAGATAATTTATGCCAACCAGGTGATATAAAATGGAGAAATGAATTGCAAAACACAAAGTACTTTCTGGGAACTTACCACTAAAATGAAGCTGTGAACAAGTACACAGAGAGTGTATGATATTAATGACCAATCCATGTGTGGAAGCTCTAAGGGAGAGTGGCCCTGTGGCTACTAAGAAAGTAACAACATGGAAGAGGTAGGGCAGATGAGCTGCCACATCAAGGGAATTGTTGAAGGACAGCATCAGCATGTAGCGTGCTAGAATAGCAATATCGTCCCACATAAGATGTTGTTCTAAGGTAGGAGTTGGAGATAAGCATGTCTTGTCAATTATTTTGCACATCCTTCCAATAACCTATAAAGAAACAGAATTTTAAAGAACACAGGGGCTAAAACAAAGTTTTATCACAAAAAGTTTCAGTTTAACCTTAAAATGACTAGTTACAATACAAACAACCTCCTGGTAATGAAAAAAGACACATCATGCCACAGTCCAGAAGGTAAAGGAAAAGTTGATTACCTTGCTTGAAACCAATTTCACATTTCCAGAAGCCAAAGCTACAGCAGTATCTGCCATCACCTCAGCTTTTATTGATCCCAGGCCACCTGTCGCACTGGTTTTGATGAAACTGTCTAGTACAACATCAAGGAGATCTGTAATCTAGTGGAAGAGGGAAAAATAACATGTTTTAGCCATTACTCTGCCAACTTAATTTTTACTTTAAAAATACTTCAAAAGCAGTAGCCCAATCAACATGAAAATTCTATTTTACCTGAAGCCTCCAAAATACTAAGTTTTATTTAGAAACCTGTCAGTAAATTTATCATTAAATATCCAAAGGAGGATAAAGATATTCACTCAATTGTACTCAATTGCTTCAGAGAGTAAAAGGGACCAATATTCAGAAATTTAAAATATCCACATGTATTATTTTCATCCACTAGCAAAGCACCTCTGTTCTCTCCTAAGACAGTGATGTATGACTAATATAAAATACAATTATTTTAAAATACAGGAAATGACATCAAGTACTAGGATGTTTTGTAGAGCTATAAAACCGGCTCCATGGTCATTTCAAATTATGTGGAAGATTTGCAGCATTGTATGATCTTTGAAGAAATGATGTGCACAATTCTTGTCAGATAAAAAATAAAATATTACATTGTATTCTATATTTTAATACTGGTATTCTTGTGCTAGAACTATAAATGAAAAGTGTCCAAAATAATATTGTTAACATACATCTACTGACATCTATGGAATGTAAATGCTAGAATATGTTATATAAAGCACTATTTAGGAGTGTCAGGGTGGCTCAGTCAGTTAAACGATTTTGGTTCAGGTCATGAGACTGAGCCCCACTTTGGGCTCTGAGCTGGACGTGGAGCTTGCTTGAGATTCTCTCTCCCTCTACTTCTGCCACCCCCCGCAAAAAAATAAAATACAAAAAAAAAAAAAGGAAAAAAGAAAAGAAAATAGGGGAGAAAGGTCATGATCCCGGGGTTCTGGGATTGAGCCCTTCTCTTCTTCTGGTTGTCTGTGAGATTCTCTCTCCCTCAACCCCTCCCCCCGCCCCCCAATAAATAAATAAAATAAACCACTATTTACTAGAAACAACATCAGATTTTTACAGTTAAATTCTATATAATTATGCCATGAAAAAGAGTACCAAAATAGTTTATTTCTGGCTCTGAAATATGCATTAGACATCTACAATTCTGAACCAAATCCAAGAATTAGGTGAGTGTCTGCATGCTTTTTGAAAGAGAGGACTGTCTTTTCTACAGCTATATCCCTAAGTGCCCAGCACAATGTTTTGCACAAAGCGGGTACCAGATTAATATCTGCATCACAGAGGTACTAGACAAATATCTGAGCAAACTCAATACCTGCCCAAGGCTCCCCCATATTTTGGCTTGGATAGATGGGTACATCTGTTTCTCATTTATGGTCATTGTTATCAGTTTATCAAGAATAGCAGTAACTCTTTGTCGTTTGGCATCATCATTGTGTTTACAAAAACGGACTAGATTTGACAGCCATGGAGTCATGTATTCCAAACAAAGGTGCTTCAATTCAATACCTGGAAAAAAAAATACACTATTAGCATAGATGGTCAATGAAAATTACATCAACAGTTATCTAAAAATATAGAGGATTGGGGAAAAGAAGGTAAAAGGTAAAGATCATTATGTAGAATCAGGTCTGGAGAAAAGAGATTTGGCCAATATATTAAAGACAGAGATGAAGAGAATAAGCCATGAAGAAAGTAATCTTAAAAGCCAGCTGGCCAATTTTTGGAAAGTTTTATCTTATTTTTCTTTTTCTTAATCATTTCTCTTCTAGTTAGAAATTTTATTAAGTTTTATTCTAATTGTATAAGGAATATGTGGCAATCATAGAAAGTTAGGTGAAAGGAAAGCATCACCACAAAAATGAAACTGATATTAATATACTGGTGTATCACCTCATCTCTTCTCAGGCTTTCAAAGCTACATAGAGATTATGTACATTTATGTGTGTGTATACACATAATACCCACCCCAAGTCCTCCACAAAAATGAGGACTACACTGTCTATGCAGTATGTTTTGAATATTTTCTTCAAAGATAAAACGTTTTAACTTTTCATTTTGACGTAAGTTTAGACTTAGAAAAAGATACAAATATTCCTCCATATAACTTTATCTAGAGTCCCCAAAACACTTTTTTTATTGTGGGAAAATACAATATAAAATTTGCCATTTTTAAGTGTACAGTTCAGTGGCCCTAAGTACGTTCACATCATTATGCAACTATCACCACCATCCATCTCCACAATTTTCTCATATTCTCAAACTGAAATTCTGTACCAAAACCATTTTTGATGGTTTCATATTATTCCATCATATGGAAATCTGACAATTTAATTAGTTCTTTATTGTTTGACCTTTAGACTGTTCCAATTTTTTGCTACTATAAATAATGTTATGTGAAGTTCAAAAGTAGGCAAAAAAAATTTATGGCAATAGAGGTCACAATAGTGGTTACTCTTGGTGAGGGGATGGTACTGACTGAAAGGAACCTTCTGGATGCTGGAAATCTTCTGTATCTTGGTCTGGGAGAGGGTTTTGTGATGTATTCACACATAAAAATTTATCAAGCTGTTCACTTAAGATTTGGGCACTTAACTGATAGGATATACCTGAATTTAAAAAATCTAAATAAAAAGTAATGCTATAATAAACATGTGAACACTAATTCCTTAGGATAAATTCTAAAAGGTGGAATCATGAGGCCAAAAGGAATGAACATTCTTAGGGGTCTTGACATCCATGTCCAAAGTGCTTTCTCAAAAAATTGCACCTGTTCACAATTCCATAGACCATCAACACTGAATTAAAAACAAAGAAAAAAAACCTTTTGCCAATTTGATAATTGTTATTTTACTTTGTTTTTATTTCTTTGATTTTATTATGAACTTCTTAAAATATAAATATTCTTTTTTAGCATGATCTGCACACTACTGTTGTTGATCCATTTTTATTAATCTATAAGAACTCATGATTAAAGATATTAATCTTTTCTCATATTTGCTGCAAGCATATTACCTATTTTTTATTATCTTTTACTTTTCTTTATGTTTCTGAAATAGAGATGTTTTGAAGTTTTATGTAATCATTTACGCTCATTATTTCTTTTCTATCTACCACTTTTTTACTTCGTAAGTCCTTAATCATCCAGAAAGCAATTAAATACTCTGCTTCCTCTTTTTTTTTTAATGGTTCCAGTTTTTATATTCAATTCTTAAATACAGTTAGACTTTATTTTGGTATCTTGTGGTTTGGGGGTGAAGATGAAGACCCAACTTAATTCATTTCCCAGCCTCATTTTTTAAATGATTTAATCTTTCCCCCATCAGTTTGTGACACTTCTTTATCAATCTGTTTCTCTTAAACTTATCTGACTGCTGATTCTTGAACACCTCTGTTTTTATTGTACTGTTATGTGTTCAAATGTCCACAAGTGTCTCTCAGTTTTCTTTTCTTTCACCATTTTCTTAACTATTCTTGTTGTTTCAAATGAAATTTATAAACATTTTAAGTTTACCTCATTCTTTCTTTTCTTTTCTTTTTTTTTTTAAGTAGACTCCATACTCAGCATGGAGTCCAGTGCTAGGCTGGAACTCAGGATCCTGAGATCATGACCTGAGCTGAGATCAAGAGTGGGACACTTAACCAACTGAGCCACCCAGGCACCTCAGTTCTACCTCATTCTTAGTCCTCAAATCCTGTAGCTATTTTGATGGGATTGCATTGAATTTATAATAATCTGGGAAGTGGGAAGAACTGTTCATCCAAGAACACAATATGCCTGTTCACTCATTCAAATCTTTTTAAATATTTCTTAATAAAGCTTTCTGCTTTTCTTAATTTGTCAGTCTTAACACATTTTCTTTTTAGGGTTGTATTCCTACATCCCTTATTATAAGTATTATAATATAAATAATATATGTAAAAGTAAATATATGTAGTCATCTGGACTTGATGAATTGTCAAAGCTTTCAATTAGCTGAAAAATCAAGAAATATGTTTGAGGGGCACCTGGGTGGCTCAGTTGGTTAAGCAACTGGTTTCAGCTCAGGTCAGGATCTCATAGGTCACTGGGACTGAGCCCCAAGTTGGGCTTTGCACTCAGCAGGGAGTCTGCTTAAAGATTCTCTCCCTCTGCCCCTCCCCCAACTCATGCACGTGCATGTGCTCTTTTTTATGTTATCTTACTGTTCTCAAATAAAATAGTAAATCTTAAAAAAAATATGTTTGCAGAAAAAAAGTTTTATGTATTATGGAGAGAGAAAGGGGAGGGAAGAAAATGTCAGGAAATAAGCTGGAGGAAGAGCAACATTTACCACAACAGGGTATGAAGATGAATAAATGGAAAGAGTGGATGTTAAATTTATAAGACTTATTAAAAACCAAGTCAGGAGTTGACTCTGGACCCTGTATTATGTGTCACTGCATTCTTCAGGAACTGTACATGACCAATAAAATCACAGTTCAAAGTCAACCTGACGAAAAGAAAAAATGACTATTTCCTTAAAATCAAGGAGACAACATGGATACTTCACTCATTTGGAATAATCTGCTAAGAAGAGAAATCCTGAAGCTAATTAAACTGAAACAGTGCGAAAAATACTTTGTAAGTGGCTCAAAGACATGTAAAGTATCAAAAATCTTGCCACCTTGCTTTTATGGCCAGAATTTTGGTGGATTTCTCAATGTTGTCTAACCAGGAAGTTCCTTCAGAGTTTCTTCAGTTGCAGAGTACAGCAGATGAAAAATTAGAAGAGATAAAGAACCGAAAATACAATCAATTATGATTTCACTGGCAAATTCTGAAATGAAAGGATTTTCTTTGAATCTTCTTAGAATCATTGTTAGGGGCGCCTGGGTGGCTCAGTCGTTAAGTGTCTGCCTTCGGCTCAGGTCATGATCCAGGGCCCTGGGATCGAGCCCCACATAGGGCTCCCTGCACCACGGGGAAGCCTGCTTCTCCCTCTCCTACTCCCCCTGCTTGTGGTCCCTCTCTCGCCATGTCTCTCTGTCAAATAAATAAATAAAATCTTAAAAAAAAAAAAGAATCATTGTTAGTATTAAAGAAAATTATTATTACTTACTAGATTTGCTAAATCCAGAAATACACTCTTCCAAAAATTCTAAGGTGAGATGTGGCTCATTGGCTGCCAGTGTCTTACTAATAGAGACAATAAAGAGCGTGTTGTTGGCAGGGATGCATAAACCTGATGTCTCTAGTAACTGGCCCTCGATTTTTAAATTAAAGGTACAAGTTAAGGCACACAGAAGATTATAGGCGGCTGACCTAGGAGAAAACATAAACAAAGTTGTTTTAAAACTTATTTTTTCTTATGATTCCAAATTTTTTTCATAACGTACAACTTATTATTCTACTACAAAGCATAATCAACTATTTTTAAATTTTATGATCAATGAGAGATAAGATGTTATGGTTCTATGGTAAATACAAAATACCCCTTGATCATTTAGGGATTTTTTTTCATCATTTAGGGATTCAAGGGAGGTTCTTGACATTACCAGAAGAGCACTGTGAGGCTCCTAAGACAGGTAAGTATTAAGACGTTTCTAAAAGACATTTTACTAGGATATAAAATATGAGAGGTTTATGGTCCTAAGGTGGATCAATAAAGTTAGAATAAGGCTCATCATATTTTCAATGAAGCCAAAAACTCAAATTGTGGTTCCCCCTCTCATCAGATCCATTTATAATGGGGATCATAAGAAGAGAAATGAGATGGCCCCTCATCAAATTAAAATGTGAAAATCTTTCATCAGCACCTACCAAATTTCTTTCTTGATGTCCTATATGACGTACTACAAACTAGAGGTCAAAAACAAACATAATATAATTAAGTCCCCCCTGTTTTTCCTTCCATTATACTTAACCACTGAAAACATAAAACAATGATATACATCCAAATTCCATTAGAACCAAAATTTCCCTTAGAAATGTCTGAAAATATACTTAAGCAATTTAGGACACAAGTAAAAAAACTGTACTTGGTTTTCAAATTTTCATTTTTCTCCCCTATCCAGCAAGAGAAAGAGTTTGCTCAGCAAATTTCAGGTTTTCCTGACCTCCGAACCTTCATCATGCTACTATATTTTTGCAACAACCATATGGGGGCAAAAAGCCACTGAAATTTAAGTCAGCCTAAAGCCTTTTTCTCTGGAATGACATGCTTCAGCAAAAAACAGAAGCTGTCAGTTCACTTTATTTCACAAGAGAATACAGGTTCAGTGAAGCTAGTAACTGTTAGAAGATTGTTAGCATTCTTCTATGAGGAATTTTGAATTAGAAATTAAAGGCAGGCTTTATAGCTCTATTTTCCTAAAATGAGAATATTAATATTATTGTTTCTAAGTTTGTGTATCTCTTACTAACTCCTAGGAATTTGGAGTTATACCATTGACTTTTATTCGGTACATTTCAGCAGCTATAAAGAACCAGGCCTGCTCAAACCGGGGTAGGTCAGATTCCTTGGAGATAATGAAAGCTAAGCATACAC